TTGACAACTTGTTTCTCATGAAGTACAAGTAACAGGGCATGGATGATATATCTACATTTTCATCCTGGTTTACAAGAAGTTGTACCTACCATCTGATTATATTTATCAATTGTTGGACTCAAACACGTTCTATTGCTTGTTAACAATGCAGCATTACACAGTATGAAAGGTATCTGATTAGAATTGTCAGATAGTGATATCAAATGTTTGTTTTTCCTGTACATCATGTTTCATATCATTGTTGGTGAAGACAGTCTCAACAAAGGATTAGTACAAATTATTCTATTCTTACAGTGAAAGACAATTTGTTCATGATGACTGGTACTTATTATAAAGTTTTGTTACAATGACTAATGTGCTGTTACATGCGGCAAAGAGGACACACATCCAGATCAAAGAATGATCACTGAAATCACTGGTAGCTATAATTGGTGAACTTTATAAAGGATGAGATTTGTGCTTGGATAAAATATGGTGATGATAATAATAATAATAATATCAACATAGAGGTGAACATTAAAAAAGCTAGATATGACTTCTTGCAGTCCTGATTAACAACACTATCATTTTTTTTTTTTAATGAAACACCAATCACCACACCCCCACCCCAGACTAGTCAATAAAGCTACTGAGATGCTGAGTGTGAGAATATGACAAAAAGAAAAACATTATTAAGGAGAAAACAATGATAAAAGAATAAGAGTTAAGAAGAGAAAAGGTAACAATTAGCATTGAATTTAAATTTTTGAAGATCAAAGTTGACTGTGAAGCATAAGTGTGAAGTGTGAGAGAAGAAACTGTTAGTATAGAACTTACGGTTATATCTGGCCATTTCAACTGTAAAAGAATGAGACCTAGCCACCAATCTAGAATTGGTTTGCAACTCTTGATGGAATGATAGGAAGCACAAAACAGTCAATTCTGTTAAATTGATGCATATTCAGCAAATGCTAACATTAACAAAAACAAAAGAGCCTCAAGCAAATATAACTACATATTTTTTTTTTCATAGAACAATAATCAATCATCATGTTGGTGAACTTTATATGAATTTAGCATCTTACAATTCAATGCATTATGAGTGGATTTTGATAATTACGTCATGATTCCTTAAATTTTCACCTGTGTGTGTGTGTGTATATATATATATATATATATATATATATATATTTTAACAATAGATGTTGGGATTTTATTTGTAAAATATCAAGAATTTTGTACAGATTTTTTTTAATGATTGGATCGGTTATCTGGTCAAAATATTACTTCCCTGTTCCATTTGGATAACCAACAATTTTCTTTTTTTTAAAATTTGTTTTGATATCCTGCTATAAAAAAAAATAATTGTCATTATGATAAATCATTTAAATCTTAGTTTTAAAATTGCCTGTTAAGCAAGATAAAAAGTTACTGGATTCTTCTTGTGGTGATAGTATCAGATTTATTTCAGAGCACCCATCCCAAGCACAAATTGCCTTTTAATGCTTCTCACAAAGAAAATGTCAGTGGCTTACTGTGATCCACTTGGGTGGCTTTCCAGGTTGTTTTTTGGTGCTATACTGTTGTAACCTAGTAAAGGTTACTGAATAGAATAATCAAACGAAGGTTGGTAATGAATGATAATACTTACAACACAAACAACTCGTATAAGATTCGCCAGTGGTGCGTAGAAGTAGTCAAGTGAATTCCACAATGAATCTCCAACTGCAGACCAACATACAGTACTTATTACTGTATTTATATGAATGGGGACATACCTATTATCATCTGTAGGTATGCTACAACATATACATTTCCAAATTTTTTTAAAAAATATTTTACTAATGTCAGTTCTACATATATTGAGTTGTACAATCATACTAATATGGTTGTTTTCATATGCCAATATCTTTATCTTGTCTTCCTTTGGAAAATATCTATTTATCTTTTCTTTTATTAGAAAATATTTTTTTGTAATGTTTTGTACTCTTTCCCATACTCGGAACATGTAATTTCTTTTTAAAACCAAATTCTAGGTCCTTTTTTATCCTCTTATGTAATGAAGTGGATTGAGGTGGTCATTGAACTATATAAAATTTATAGGTGATATATGTGAGATGATTAAACTTATTTCCAGTACTTTATATTGTAATGTAATTATTGGTATATTCTTGAGAATAGTAATTCTTGATTTGTAATGCATATTATATTAGCAGAAGTATTGTTTTATTTATTTAATAATTATTTTCTGATGATATTTCTCTTATTTCTTTCAGCACAAGCTTCCTTTAAATTTACCTGTCAATCAGTATTCCACTACATCTATTCCTTCCCAAAGGATTAGTCTCACTCCTCTACAACAGAACATTGCAGGTAAGTAATATATGGCCAGCAGGTTTGAATTTTGCCTGGAGTTTTTGGAAGATCAACTCAATTGTTTTCAACTCCATCTCTCTATTCAAAGAAACAAGATCCCATAAACTGAACTGGTAACAACAAAAGCACACTTAATTTGTTGTAAATATGAAATATTTTGGATATTAATACTTGCATTTGTAGTTTTTGCTAAATAGTAAAAGAAATAATGACTGACTTGTGACAGTTGTATACTTGTAAATAGGTACATATTTTCTACTTTAGCAAGGTTACTTACTTGTACTTAAATTTAGGCTAATTTTGGTTCTGATTTCTACTTTTAACATAATAAACCCATTTGCCGAAATCATTGAGGAACCAAGTGTTAGAATACTGATTTTGGTAGGTGGGTCAGACCAATACCTTTTCAGCACCACTTTTTTTAAACAGTGTTTATTTTGTTTACCAGTCTACACACTCAAAAAAAAACTTACTGAAAATGTGCTTTTCAGTAGGATTTGAACCTACATCCCCACTTTACCACTGTCTGATTCAATGTGCTTTGACCACTCAGCTTGGTTTTTATGTGTCTTTAACATAAATTCACATTCAATTCTGTGCTGTTTCCTATTTGAGACATAAACAAAGCAATTTCTAAAGAATTAATGGATTTTATTTTTTAATCTCACATATTTTTGTTACTTCAAACAGTATTTTTAGTGGATAACCGTATTTGAGTAGACGTTCTTTTTTTTTTTTTTTTTTTCGGTGTGTTTATTTGTCTACCAGGCTGTGCACTCAAGAAAATTGTTTTCTCCTGCAAAGGGAGGTGCAAGTTCAAACCCTGCCAGAGTTCACATTTTCTTTATTAAGTTTCCCTGAATGCACAGGCTAGTAGACAAAATAAATACTGTTTAAAAAAAGGACTTAAGATGCAAACTGTTTTTTTTTTTTTTTCTCTAATTATGTGATTATTTCAGATCTTGGTTTTAATCTCTTTAAAATGTAGAAACAAAAAGTGATCCCATTTATAATGAACATTCATAAGAAATTTTAGGAAAATAAATTTAATTTCTGAATTTTTAATGTTTCAAACAAATTATTTATATTACCCTAAGTGCCCCCCCCACACCAAAAAGAGGTGCAGTAAAAATGTTTTCTTCTTTTCAGTTATAGTGATTCATAGATACACCCTTGTTTGCTTGCAATCAGAATATTTTTACTGTCTTGTGAAAATGAAGTTGGCTCTAAAGTAAACAAAGTACATTATTCAGAGATGTTAAAAATCTTATTAGCTCTTGTGCTGAGCAGCTTTTCATTCAATTCAACTTCATACTGAACAGTAATTAACTGGTTATTTGGTGAACTGATTGGGATGGGAGTGATCACTCTTGGTTGGGTCACCTGAGAGAAGGGGTCTGATGTTTTTAGAGGCCTGAAACCCTCTATATCAGGAATAAATATTACTGATGAAGCTTCCCAGCACACCACAAGGGGGTTTGAGGTATGGTATAGGATAGGATATGGTGATTTTGTAAATGTAACTTAGATGTGGCACAAGGTCAAAAGTATGGAGCACCCAGTAAAAGATTTGGGATAGGATGTGAAATAGAATGCCTTTTTTTTTATATGTACAATTTTGTAGTTTTTGCAAAGTAGATGAAACTTGAAAAAAAGAAACATTATCATGTTACTTAACTTATTTGAATCATTTATTTTTTCTCTTTCTCCAGTATCAGGGAAAATTGGTTCTGGAATTGGCCTATCAGGTTCCAATAATCCAACATTGACTGTTGTAACTAAAGGAGTCTCTTTACCAACTGTAACCATTGTTAGCAAACCTGTATCAACACCTAGCCCTGCCATTACCCCTAAACCCACCATCAGAACAACAATTGGTGAGTAAAGATTTTTTTTATGTCTTGAGAAAAGATGCATATACATATGATTATTTACATAATCAATGATTGCCAAAACTTTAATGGCGTTTTCAATTATAATTCAAATCATTTTGACTAAAGGGCGATAACTCTTATTACATTTTTGCATTTGTATGGAGATTGTTAAATAGCTGACAATATATTAAAGTGCATTTTTATACTATTTTAAATATTTGCCTATAAAGTCACTTTTGTCTAAATCTTTAAAATATTTAGTATGATAATTAAAGTTCTGACGAAATTGCTTGCAATTTTATTTCTTAAAATTAAAATTGTGAGATATTTTGCCGTAAACTTTAATATAGGATAATTTTTGTTGAATTTTGCAACAAAACACTTAAATATGTTAAATCATTTTCATAAGCAATTAGCAACATTAAAAAAAAAATGGTTTCTTTTGTTTGATCAGGTCCCAAACCCTCCAGCACCAGTGTTTCAAGTGGCCCCAGCATGCCACTTGGTCAAACAGTCACAGTGACATCCAGCAGCATTGTGCCTGGAAGTATTGGAGTTACAACTCCAAGTATCACCTCGTCCAGTAGTACCAGCACCAGTGTACCACATCCTCCTCCACCACCTCCACCGCCACCACCACCACCGCCTCAGAACATCAGCCTGAACCAGATGAACACTACACAGATTGTGACTTCAGCACCCTCAGTCCCTGGAACACAGACCAACAGTCTGAAGAGGAAGCTCTCAGATGACGATTATGACCAACCTTGATTGGATGATGTCCTTAAATGCATGTTAAACTGATATGGACAGTTTTTTTTTTTTTTTTTTTAATATAAATTAATGCTTATATGGATGCATCAGTTGGAGAGATGTTGGGGTGGGGGTCAGCTTTTAAAAATGTGTATCTCTGGAAGTCATTGAATTTAATGTCTCCTCTTTAAAAAGAAAATGACAATAAGTAAATAAAAAAAGTAGGGTAAAAACGACCCTGTAGATCTCATGTTTCACCTGATCTAATTCACTGAGGCTCAAGGGAGATAAATAGAATGAGATGATTATTAATTGCCATGATGACTGCTTTAAAAATTAATTCTCCTTTATTTGTGCTTCACTGCATTTTATTCTATTGGGGCTGCTGAAAGTATTCACAATTCTGTGTGTATGCATGCATGTGTGTGTTTTTATTTGTAATAGTCTATAAATTTCTTGTATAAAGCATTAGCAACTATTATCATTTTTTTATGAATTTTATTTCAATAAGATAAAAGACAAGTTAAAAGAAAAATTCTCATGGACACTCACAAAATGAATGACTTTTCACAATCATAATGCATCAAATATATAATGCTATCCTTCACTGTAACATTAATTACTGAATTAATAGATATTTTGACTAATATTTATTTTTAATGAAACTTAGGCCATAAAACAGCAATGAGTAAGACAACTTAAATGGGAAAATAATGAATAAGCTTTTAGATTGAAACTCATGCCCTTTTTTGCCTCAGGGAAGCCTGGTTAAATGTACTGGCCACTTTTACCAATTGAGCTTTGTTGAAGATCAAATCTAACCTTTTAAACACACCCTTTCTTCCATGATCTCTTGCTCTGTGCCATGTTTGTTCAGTTTCTACAAAAATAGCAATATTACTGCTGCTAACATAACAGTTATTAACAACTGTAAATTTCTGAAGAATACTTTATTTAAAATAAAACTATGCACAAACTTTGGTTGTTAAAAACTGCTATGTTTTTCTTTTAATAAAGGGTCCAATGTTTTTCTTTCCTGTTATTCATTTCTAAGACCAGTTTTCACCTCCAAAAGAAGAGATGACAGTTATGAGAGGAAGTGTATAATAAGTGTTAAATTAAAAAAGTATTAACTATTAACTTGTTCTTTAGTTTCTAGTGTAACAGTTCATATTTAGACTCAAATCAAATTTCGTGACCAAGTTAGTATCTACTATTTTTTAGATTCACAATATACTCAGCACTAATAACATGGTTTAGGTGATATATATATATAGCTCAAACACACTAATATTCCATGGTTGTAATTTATTACATTGGAATTGTAATCACAATCCAATTCATCAGACCTACAAATTAAAAGAAGAAATCAGAGGTCTGATGAATTGGATCGCGACTACAATTCCCATGTAAAAAATTATAATTGTGGAATATTAGTGTTTGAGCCTTTTATATTATATTCTTGCTCTGATCTGGACATTGAGCACTACTTGGATTCTATCCTCTTGGAAATTATATACATGTATATAATAAAATAGTTTTAAGGTATGCTATATTTATGGGTTAATGTGCTTAGTATCAGGGATAGAGCATATGTAAATATAAAAGTGAACATTGAAGTCAACACCCAAAGGCGATAGTCTGTTTCATGCTAATTACAATTGTCAGGCCATGTGCATTATGTTTTTGCTTGACCATTTAAAAATACAGGTCAGTGATGCATTGTGGGTCGTCTTTCGTATCATTCTAACAGTTATTTTGGTTGGTGGTAACAGTTGTGTTTCAAATTATTCTAGGGGCCATTGAGTAGGAATAAACACAATGGACATTGCCTGGCAATTGCTTTTAGCCTGAAAAAGACTGTTGCCTCTAGGTGTTGATTTCAATGATCATATATATATATATATATATATATATATATATATATATATATATATACATACATGTTTTTTTGTTTGCTTATTTAAATAGTAAATTCATGACTACTAGCCTGGGCATTTGAGAGGCTTAAAGAATATGTGTCTGATTTAAATAGTCTAAAGTCGACCTGGCTCATAAATGATTTACCCAATATAAGGGGCAAGCTGATTTGAACCCTGACAAAAGGCACATTTTCTTTATTAAAACTCTTGAATGCCCAGGTTAGTAGAGGTGAATTATGCTGTTTAAACAAACAAAAAAAAATATGGATGTCTACTGAAATGTGTATTTGCTAACTGTAATGTTCATAATAATATATAATCTTTTTGCTATTAACATTATATTTAGGGAGTAACCATGCTTGAGTAGACATCTTTTATAACATAATGATCTACGATTCTTATTTGATAAAGATGTTAACTCGGATTTCTTTAAACTTATCAACATGTAAATTCAGAACAAGTCTCTTAAAAATTTTAATGCTTGCTTTTGAAAATCCACATGGGTAAACATATTTGTAACAAATCAGTATTTGGAGTTAGTATTCATTATTGAATGAGTGATGATTATTTAATCATTTGACTTTTCATGAATTAATTCATTGTTAACATGGAGTGAATGAGATGTAGGGAACAAAAAGTTATTGTTTTATTTCCTCTGAATTAAAAATTCTGGGTGCTTCAAGCAGTTCTAAACTTGAAAAGATTAATTTTTTTGCAGCTATGATCAATTAATAAATTTCTCTTGGAGAAAATTAATTAAAAAGACTGTGTGAATGCACACACAGACACACACACACACACACACACATATATATATATATATATATATATATATATATATATATATATATATATATATATATATATATATATACTAAATTGGGTCAGGGGTCATTTTTTAAATGGTGGCAATATGAATAAAAATGTTTTAATTAATACAATCTCGTTACTTGTTCTGTAAAACATGTATACAGGTCAAAATCAAAGTTCCCTGCAAAAGTTTTTTTTTTTTTTTTTTTTTTAAAATGTAACACTAGCTATTAACTCAAAATTTGATGAATTCAGTTTATTAAAAAAAATAAATAGGCTTCTGTTTTATGAAAACAACAAACTTAAATTGAAATCTCAATTCCATTAAACAATTTTTACCAAAAAATGTTTTTAAAATCTTTAGTATTTTATGATTTTGACCTTGAAATTTTGATCTTTATTTAAGGAATCTTAGTAATAGAAATTTAGAAACTAAATTAGATGTACCAATTTATAACTCATTATTTTTATCAAGTGGCAATTATGTGAATATATTTTTATAAAGCATATCAAATATGATCTGGAGCCATGAATTTTAAAATTTTCTGCTAGTAAATTTCATAAAATAACATTTTCTACTGACATTTATAATAAGCTAATACAGAAATAATTCTCTGATAGAGAATTTCAAGTTTCTTCATTTACCATAAATTTATTTAGAATTTGGAAAAAAAAAAATCTCATTAAAAATAAAAATACACTTGCATTCATACCAACATCAAATAATTTCGTTGATACAGAAAAATATATATATATATATATATATATACACACACACACACACCTCTCTCACCTTTGTCATGTTGCCCAGTTAAGTCAAAATGGCTACACTCTTCAACTTTTAAGAGTGTCTGAAAGTGTAGCAATATTTATAAGATGTCTATAAAAAACATATCTGATATAAGACTTGACAGCTGTTGAAATAAATTAATTATAAAATGGTCAAGATAAATATGTAATATTGACCCATCTTAATTTTTTTCTTGTATAATCTATTCAGTAGAAATTATAATTTATTTTCATTCATCAAATCATTTGTAATATATAACGAGTTATTTAAATATTCTTCAATACTTTTCTATGATGTTTTGAACTTCAAAATTTAATTATTTAAAAGCTTGAGTTTTCTACAAAAAGATCTATTCATATTACACATTATCATCATTAGATTATCTACACCAAAATAACAATTATACAACTTTCTTAGAAAACAATTTTGATCAAAGGATTTAGGCAATGTTTAACATGTGTACCCACAAAAAAATGGTGCTAGAAAAGAAGAGATTTTCTCAACACTTATTATTCTATACTTGGTTGGCAATTGTTTTAAAAAGTTATTTTTAGAATTTTAATAAAATCCAAATATACAAGATTAGATTTATGCATTTTCTTATATTAAACTCTCTTTTTTATTAGATTATTTATTTACAAGTTTATAAAAAATATGTGAACCAATTACAGCGCAATATTTTTTTTATTCAGAAACTTATATATATATATGAACAAGAAAATTAAAAAAACGTGTATCTGGAAATATAAATTTTGATTTAAAAAAAAAAAAAAAAAAAAAAAATGAATTTTCTAACATTTCTTTTATTTGTGATTGCTGTATCAATTTACAAATATATGCTGCAAACATCTGGATTTAAACTATTTCCTAAAAAATGTATAAAATACTATTAGTCTACTTATTTACAAGAATAGTGTTTAATAATTTTGTTTTCAATTCTCAAGAAAAAAGACAATGTATATATTGTCTTTGTTTTTATTAAAATTCTGAAAATAGGTTTTTAAAACAATAAAAATTGCCTTTGTATCGAGAGAAAAACTCTCCTTTTGACACACCATTTTTTTTTCTCAGGTACAGTTGTTAGAATTTATTTTTATGTATTTTTTTTTTTTTTACTGTTCCTCCCACCCCACCTATCAATTTCTTGTTTACTGAATAAAACCTTTTAAAACTAATGGTTGTCTTTCTAAAACTGCCCTTATATTAAACATTGCTCCCAAAAAACGTATCTCAGCAATAGTGTTCAGGTTCATTCCACTTAACATTTATTGTTTGTCTTTGAAAAGAGTCATTAACATAACACAATATCATTTGGACAATGCAATCTGTTCTTCAGTCCTTGTCAGATGTATTCTGTGAGAGAAAAAAAGAAACCTTTCTCCACTCATCCAAGAAAAAAAAATACCCATTAATCAACCAAAAGGACCATTCCATTTCAGTAGGAAGACGATTGTAAACTATATCCAGGGAAATTCCTCAACTTTGCTATGCAATGA